AATCCACAGTATTTTTGCGCAGAACCCACGTCGAAATTTGCAAAAAAGTGCATAGTGCAAACCCTATTTATTTATGAACTTGAGGTCGGAAATTCGAAACATTTATTTTAAATACAATGTTAATCCTTTGGTTACACGTGATGTTAAAGTTTTTAGATTAGGGTTATGCGTTTGGACACAACAACCGAAAATCATTGTACAAATAACTAAACCGCACCCAAGTTTCCCAATAAGGGGCAACAAAGATTCTTTTTTACTAGTTTATTTAAAGCAATGGATAAAAATATACGTACATGCGAAAAGCAAATTTATCTGTTAAAATGAACGCCACTAATATTTCATGCAAACACACATCGCTTAACATTTTTTATCTCGCCTCCGACACAGAATTGTTTTCGGACAAAATTATGCAAAAAAGCTTACTCGTTCGTTTTTAGGCATACTATTGTTACGAATTTCGAAAGTTCGAAGATACGATTCGGATTGCAGCATACTATTTCTACGATTCGTAGCAAAATCCGAATACGAAAGAGTTGCAGAATGGGGGTGTTAGAAAAAAGCTTTTGCCCTAACAGCGGTCGCCCCTCGGCAGGCAGTGGCAAACCTCCGAATGTATTTCTGCCATGAAAAACAGCTTCTCATAAAAACACACTCGCCGTTCGAAGTCGGCATAAAACTGTATGTCCTTCCTTTTGTGTGACAAGGCGCATACCTCAAATCGGAGGAGAAGCTCGACCAAACACTAACATATGTGTGAAATAGAGTTTATGCACTTAGTTTTTACTCAGATCGATGAAATGATTTCGTGAATTGGACTACGCATCCATGTGATACTTATGCTTTTAATTTATAAGGTAATTTTACCTACTCTCAGTCCCCTTATGGGAGATGTCCGCTTATGGGAATTTCCCAAAAAATAATATTAAAATTTAAATTTAAAAAATCTAAATTGCGGGTTCCTAAACTAAAATAATATATATCCTTCAATAGATAAAACTGAATTAATGGAAAATAAATTCAAATTTATGGCATTTTCTTTTCTACCGACAAATCTCATTTCCCGCTTCGCTGAAGCAGTAAGAAGACGGCAATCTAAAGTAAACTTTTTTTTAGAAAATAAAACATTTCTGAATATGGACCTGTGTACCAGTGTTGCCGCGAATCATTTTTAGCGGTAGCCAAATTCCGTTAAAAAAAGGGCTAAAAGAGAGCTAAAAAAGTCGTTGTGGCTAAAAATGGTAGCTAAATTTTTTACTTACATACATATAAATATATAAGTATACACGCAAACATTTTCAACAAGTAATGGTATAGAAAAACAATGAAGTCTGCCAAAAAAGCCAATATTTTATCCAACCAAAAACCATTGTCAATGTTATTGTGGCTTGTTAACGTTTTTATTTTTAATATTTTTATTGAGCTTTGTACCACGATTGTTTATTAGGAAAAATTGAAAAAGCAACAAAGTCTAAGCGGTAGAAGTTATAGCACTATTTCGGAGATCACCACATCTCCTCATCAGACTTCTTTTTTCTAGACTTCAGCAGGGATCGAACCTGCGAATTCGATGTTCAAAGTCAGAAGCGTTAACCACTGAGCTATGTACATCCCGTAAACTCTTGTTGCTAATTCATTTTCCTTATTCATCAAACTACTATCAAGTGCAGCTGATTTGCCGCTATTTAAACTCGACAGGCAGGCTCTTCCTAAACTATGTATTTTGTCAATGTTATTGTGGCTTGTTAACATTTTTATTTTTAATATTTTTATTGAGCTTTGTACCACGATTGTTTATTAGGAAAAATTGAAAAAGCAACAAAGTCTAAGCGGTAGAAGTTATAGCACTATTTTTGTATAAAAGGGGGCCGTAAACTTATCTATTTTGAACTATAGTAGTATAAAAACGTAAGGAACATACAATACATATATGTATATCAGTCTTTCTTAGTTTAAAAATTCATCTCTTACATAGATAAAAAAAATGATATCAAATTAAGCATATATAACTTTTTCATGCCAAGTATGAATAAATTCTCCAAAGGACTAAAAAAAGGGCTAGGGGCAATTTTAAATTTATGTGGCCAAAAAAAGTATGTTGTAGCTAAATCTAGCCACCAAAGGGCTAAAACGGCAACACTGGTGTTTACTTGTGTAATTGACCGCTCATTTTATTAGAGCTTCGCGTCCTCTTATGGGAGATTTCTTTTTCATAACTAGACATGTTTGAGTGCCCATGTTCGTTTATCGGAAAGTCCGTGTATGGGAGAGCATTTTGTATGGAAAAAAACCAAAAATTTTTCGTTCCCAAGAATGTGTCCACTTAAAGGAGATGTCCGCTTATTAGAGCGCCCGTCTATGGGAGCTTTCACTGTATATGAAATTCGTCTGGAAGATAGAAAGCGAGTAAGAATAAATGCCGAACAAAGGAATTTGTCTTCTTTCGACTTAAGTAAATGCATTTTGCAAACAAAAGTGTGTACGTTACTTAGTTCCTTGGTAATGGCGAATTCGTCAGGATCTATTGATTGCATTATAAACATTTTCATTTATTTGTTAAACATACAATAACTTCCATTAGCGCGAATTCATATAAGGTGGTGTTACCGGAAATAGAATAAATAAATTATATGTACATCAGAAAATTAATAAGATGAAATGAAATTATTGTTTGATTTCTAACCAAACCTATGTATGTAACTCAATTGCCTAATGGTTTGCCGAACCGTAAACATATGTTTACTCACACCTTTTTTAAGAAGTTTCACTTCTATTATGTGTACGGTGTTACACACGCATTTTTTTAAAGATTCTAATTAAAAATTTTGAAATTTCGGCGAAACAGCGCAGAATTAATATTTACAGTTTTTTGCACAAAGTTGGAAATTTGGTATTATGTATGTATATGGGATCTGTTAAGAAAAAATATAAACATTAAACAAACTAAGGAAAAATAGCCAAACCTTACTAAAGTGTCGAGGTCTAATTTCTACTTTGGTCACTGTAATTATTCCTCGATTCGAATCACAGGCATTCAGATTAGAAAATAATAACATTTCTGAAATTTACCGTTATATGCCGGCCGTAATTTTAGGCCGATTTCAATAATTTTCAACGTTTTTCTTTTATGTGGCAAGCACAATAAAAATACCGAGTTTGGTATAAATTGGTAGACCGGTTACCGATATACATATGTATATGTGATCATAAGTGGGCGCTGCCACGCCCATTTTCCAAAATTTTACCATAAACGTATTTCTTGGTAAAGAATTGTTGGAAGCGTCAATTTTGAATAAATTAGCTTTACTATTTACTGATTTATCGAAGATTCCGTATTTCTCTAAACTACCCTATTATAGACTGTGGGCGTGGTTATTGTCCGATTTTAAAAATTTTCGGCCATTTGGTATGCTGTACCAAGCCCAGCAACTGTGCCAAGTTTGGATGAAATTGGTGCAGCGGTTACCAAGATATACACATGTATAAGTGGGCGTGGCTACGCCCATTTTCCAAAAATTTATAATATTCTTATTTTCCGTCTGAAAATTATTGTAAATATCAATTTTGAGTGAATTATCTTCAGTAGTTACTAGAATATCGCAGTTTTCGTATTTCTGGAAATTACCGTTATGAGGGAAGTGGGCGTGGTTACAGTCCGATTTCGCCCATTTTCAATACCAACCTACCTTGGATTAACGGAAATCTACATACCAAATTTCATTGAGATATCTCAATTTTTGCTCGAGTTATCGTGTACACGGGCGGACGGACAGACGGACAGACAGACATGGCTTAATCGATTTCTCTATTCATTCTGAGCATTTATGTATACATTTGTCTATATCTATCTCGATTCATTTTGGCTGTTACAAACAACCGTTATGTGAATTAAATTAATATACCCTTGTGCACAAGTGCGCTCGGGTATAAAAATTACGATCATGCTTATAACAAGATCACTTAAAACTCGTTCATACGCATGCCATTTTAATGAGCTGTTAAGGCGTCGGAGCACGGAATACGAAACAGATACAGGACATTAAAAGCAATGCAGAACATTTGGCGTCCCGTATAAAATAAATAAATTACCAGGACAATGGGTCAAAAAAGAGGACTGTCCCACAAAAGTTGGATTTCAAGTTGTAAGGAAAGGCACACAAATTTAAATTCTTTTTTGAGCGGCATATTTGTCGTAGCAACATACTTTGTAGCGCATTAGAAATAGTGATGCGACGAGTTTTGTGAATTTGTTAGAAAAGCGGGGTTAGTCAGAACGTACAGGAAGTCGTTCCTATAGACATAAAACCTCTAAGTGGGAAAACTTTTGAGAGAGTAACCGAGCAACTGTTCCTAGCCAGAAGTTACAGGATTTAGTCCGGAGTTTTTTTTTCTTTTAAGTTCATGAAAAGTGTCAAACGATAGGCAGGGTTGCACATGTAAACAAAAACAGAACGTGGTGAAGGCAAAGAACCTTATATTTGTTAAAAAATGGAAGTAAACAACGAAATATTTGAATATGTACAGATTTTAATAATTATTTAGTGATATTTCAACCAAATCAGTGTTGTACCAATGTCATGTAAAAAACCGACTGACGTTTTTACAGGAAAAAGTGCTTTTTGCGTTCCCGTACACTTCGGAATCTATTCTCCTTTTACTCTTACTTGAGAGAGTAAAATTGTAAATTGACAGTTCCACAGGTTTTAGACCGAAGTTCAAAGGAACAGACTAATTATTTCTCAAAAGGGATTTGCGTTCTTTCACTTGCAGTTATTTTGCGGTTTTTATGCCAGAAAGTGATTTGTGCCAATATGTATGTAAAATGTTATTTTTGGGTGTTTACTCAGCAAAGTGGACTTTCGCTTTCGCATTTTGACAGGAAATTATACCAAGGCCTGTCATATGCCATTAAGAGTCATGGCTCAATGAACATACTTGTTGCATACACTCACATAGCTTCGAATGTCATGAAATATTTAACAAACTTCTTATTTCCTCGGCAGCATTATGATACTCAACATGCTCAACTTGTATTCGCTGATGTTCTCCTTCATTTACAACATCAACAGCAAGGAGGGGCCATTGCAATTGCTCAAGGAGCGGTACGACAACTCTACCGATGAAATGAATGAGTTAACACAACTAATTGAGGGCCTGAAAAACAGCGGTAGTAACAGTACTGAAGTGGGCCTGGTGCTCACTAATTTTAACGCAACTACCAGCAGTCTGCTAACGACAACCGCAGCTGCCACAACACTTTATGGCTGGACCACACGTCTGAAATGCCGCAATATCACAGTGAAATGCTCAAAACCAACGCGCATCAAGGTGAGAAATTTCGCGACAGCAACCACGATGTTTCTTCTCAACATAACCACCCCTTCAATGTTGTCGCACTTAACGGACGAGTCAAGCACGTTAACTACCCCACCTTACACAATAACACCTGCGACGGAAATTGATACAACGTGGACAGCGCAAGAAGAATTGAGCACCACCACACAATTCACTACAACAGAGCCGCCGACTCTAGCGATAGATACAACTTTGACCCCAATAATTGAATACACAGAGATCTCAACACAAACTGAAAGCACTGAGCCATCGACGACACTAGAATCCACCTCAACCACGACCTTAGCGCCAGGCAGTGATGATTTCTTCGACTATATGGATTATTTTGTAGGGATGCCACTCGAGCTCAGCGACACGCTGGAAGCGGCTGCGGCAACAGAGACAACGCGCAACAGTTTAAGTGCAATGACCGAAAATCTGCCACCACTGAGCCGCAAGCCCAGACAAGCTGCGCTGCCAACGCCAGATGAGGCAATGCAAATGCCAAAACAGAGCATGTATAGTCGACGACAAAATGAGCGGCACAGACAGAGCAGTGAAGACAACGAAGACTATTCGGCCGATGATTCAACGTCTACAACTATAAAAACATTACCTTTATCCACGCCAGTCGACGATGCCAGTTCCAGCACGGTTGTGACAAGTCGCCAGGTGCAACAGACGCATCAACAACAAAATGAAACATTGGAGTCGCCACAAAATGAATCATTGCCGACGTTACATGTCAATACTAAGCTGTTGGGTGAAGTATTGGCTTATTTTACAAGCTCAACATCCACTGTCGATCCACCAACCACAAAGTTTCCGCTTCCCACAACAACAGTTTCAACAACAATTTCAACAATGATTCCAACAAAATCAACTGAACTCGCCGGCAGCAGCACTCCATATTTCTTAGCGGAAGATGACATTCTTGACGAATCTACCGACACGATTAAGTATGAGGCCAATGAAATCGATGAAGAAAATTTCGATACTTGCATTCGTACTATTTGTGATCCATATCCGGAAGAATACTTCAGTACAACAGACATAGATACAACAGCTACTCCAACTACAACCACACTGACGCCTATGGAGACTTATGAAATAAAATTGGCGAAAGTGAAGCAAAACATACATGAGGTTCAGCGTAATTTGACCAGTATGTGCTGGGAGACATCACTGGGCCAAGAGCTTGCGAAAGTTATCGTTTCGGATGGGGTAAGAAAAAATGAATTTATTGTAAATATGCTTTAGACTGTGTCAAATGAAACGACTATTTTTTGCCTTAGGTTCCATATGAAATTTTTGTTGTCGGTCCCAAAAAAAATAGTTGCGGCAAATTCCCGATCTTAGTTTTTAGGTTAGCTCTCGAAAAAATAAGAATTTTTAAGGAAAAATTATTTTCCGCTCCTTTTTACAACGCTTTTATCGACTTGCAATGTTGTGTGTGCAGACACAATTTTTAGCTATAATTATAGATTATATTCAAAGTTCCTATACAAAAGTCTAGACATCAACCTCGGCGGTAGGCATTGCCGGAAGTAATTAAATATTGCGCCTAAAAATATGCACTCCATATGCTACAGCGGAAATGGACGACAAGCCATATGTACATACATACATACGAGCATAAAACATTTTGCTTGCATATGCATAAAATAAACCACACAAATATTTGCGCAAATACCAACTTTTACAAATAGGAATCGAATAAGAATCTTATTTGGACAAATTGTATTTGAGCAAATATTTGTGTGGTGTATTTTACGCAATAGTCTTCTGTTCTCTTTTCATTGCAAGTTAAATTATTTTAATATCTGTTGCAAAATTTTATACAGACAAGCCTAAAAGTACAAAATAAAAAAAAACTTATTAATATACCACGCTTTTATAAATTGACTAAAAAGTAGAAAATAATATTTCTCAGTCCCATAGAATTTGTTTTGATAACTTTTGATTTTGAAATCTTAGCAAAAGTCATTATAAACCATTCATGAAAATGAAAAGCGTGGGGCGCATGTAATAGACCTGAATTGATATGAAGGGTAATATATGTATGAATGTGGATATAAGAATAACGACCGCTTAAAATCGATCTCAATTTGTACTTTCTCTGTAGAAATTTTAGGTCTATGTTATGTAGTTTGACTATTGTCAATTAAATCTAATGCTTTGCTTTGCATGCGCTTCACGTTTTTCGTTTTCACTCTCATAACTTGTTTATAATGACTTTTGCTAAAATTTCAAAATCAAAAGTTATCAAAACAAATTCTATGGGACTGAGAAATACTATTTTCTACTTTTTAGTCCATTTATAAAAGCGTGGTAGATATATTAAGTTTTTATTTTATTTTATTTATTTTAATAAGCAATTCAACATAATAAATAAAAAAACAACGTTTTAGACCATTCAATTTTAGTATAATAAGCGCAAGTTAGAAGTAGCCCTGACCTACCGTTGATTTTTGGCATTATTTATAAGGTTTCGTTAATTTCTTAATATCTAAATTGAATAGGTTAAAAGGTTGTTTTATTATTTGTTAGATTCAATTATTTATTAAACAAAAAGTAGCAGAAAACTATTGTTTTCCTTAAAAACGCGATCGCCAACTGAAAAATTAAAATAGAGGTCTGAAATTTTGCCGCATTTTTTTTTTGTTTGTGACCAAGGAAGAAATTTTCATATGGGACTGAAATAAAAAACATTCTTTTTATTTGACACAAAACTTATTGCATGCATATGTACATGCATGTAAGTATTTTGAATATTCAGAATACATATTAAGGGTATTCAGACTATACTCGTTAAGGTCTTAATTCGGTAACTCCCACCATTGTTTTGCTTTTGTAAATTGACGAATATATCATTACCAACTTAACGAGATGGCAAGTCTGATAAAGGGGTAACACACGCGTTAAAATGTTTGCTGATTCCTTTCTGTCATTTCATACATTTTATCAGTTCATACATTTTATCAAAAGTTCAATAAATCGTTCCGTCGTGGAATTAATAAATGTTTATAAATAAAAGAACTTCACGTCATCCGATTCGAAAGTAATTTTAACCAGAAAAATAATAAGGAGCGTTCGAAGTTGAAAGTGTTACCGAGTTACCAGATAACGAATTAATACATAAACGAGGATAGTCTGAATACCCTTATTGAGAATATCTCGTTCTAAAGATATTTTGTAAATAAATGTGTTCCACAGTCTTTCAAGGTAAAATGTTTGATATTATGAAAACTGCTATCAGATTTAATTGTTTAAAAACTATAGCCACCTTCGATTCGTCAACACTTGGTGAGTGGCTAAACAAACGAGTAACTGACATAAACTACTCACAATAGTAAAACTAGTATAATATTTGCATAGAGATAGACCCTCTAAGCGACTTAGCACTACAACGGCCAGGTCTTTCACTGCATCCTCGCTTTAAGAATTTTATTCATTAGGATCAGATTCTGAACCTTCAGAATCATACTCCGCAGTAATGCGCAAAATGTTTATCTAAACCTTGGTCATTTCACCGTTCACAATGTAGCAATGTACATGAAACAATTTTTATTTATATTTGAACAATCTGTTTATGAAAAATATAACTTGTCATTTGTGCACAACCATTTTCCAATTGGAAATGCCAATTGGAGCCATGTTCTTCTCCACTTGCTCTTTCCATCGCAGTGGGGGCCTCCCTCTTCCTTTGCTACCAACAGCGGGTTCCGAGTTGAATACTTTCAGAGCTCGAGCCTCAGTGTCAATTCGAATGGCATGGCCGTGTCAGCGGAGCCGCTGTATTTTATGTCCATGGCATTGTAAAGCTCATACAGCTCACTGTGTCAGATTTTGCCAATATGGGACATCAAAATTCAATTATAGACAAAGGTTTAGAGATATAAACTTAAAATTTGGCATGATTTTTTAAAAGAACATAAGCTTCAATATGGTTATGAATAGGGCAACCCAAAATATGCTTCTTAAAACCTATTTTAAGCGCTTAAATTATGCCAAGAAATTCTAAATATATGCTCCACAAATTTTAAAATCTGATTTCAGATTTCTAATCAGCGACCTTAAAAACATATCCATAGAAAGAAAGTGGTGTCAAATTGTGTCAAGGGGTCTTTAAGCAAATATGTAGTTTTGTCCTTAAGATTTGGATTTCAGACTTTACCGATCACTTACAATAGGTTTGTCCCACGGATACGATGTTCGTCTATGTCCATGATAAATTTCAAGTGCGATGTCATAGGTAAATTTTCGCGGTAAGCGGTACTGTGTCTTCGTCCAGTGTCTATTGATAACCACACAAAAGGCCAACGACGATAAAATAAGGTTATTTTCAAATTTTTTGTTGCACAATGTTAACACTCTGGGGAGGCGTTGTCCCGCTAACTGGGTGTAAGTGGTTTGTTTTCGTGATTTACATGAATAAACTGAAAATCGTAGCATACTTTTTGTGACGATAAAATAAGTCACTAAAAACTGTCGCTAGCTCCTGAACTATTATATGCTGATATTTTTTCTAGCTTATTTTATTTTGAAAATCTTCAATTTGATTTACCTCTATAGAAATGTGTCTTATAGCATGTTTACGCTACCGTGTTGTGTAGCTCGTTCTCGTTTTACGCTGTAAAACTAGTAAACGCGCTGATCAAGTGGAATGGTACGAGATTCGGACACTCTTGAATTCTGGAAGATCTTCCAGCAGTCTAAAAGCGCTTGGACTTCACAGTTCCCCCCCACTGGACTAATGAATCCTTTCCAAATAAGAATCCCCTCAAGGGGTGAATGGGAGAAGGATTCAGTCCTGATCTCTTACTCCGACTCAGCAGGCATATACACTGATTGCTCCAAGTTGATTTGAAGGTAGGTGGTGGAGTATACTCGCAAGAACTCTCACTTAGCCTCAGCTTTCGTCTGAGAGACCTTAGCAGCGTTTTTTAATCTGAACTTACAGCAATAAACGAAGCTGCATATGGCTGATCGATTCTTCTATTAATTCGCATGCAGTAGCCATTTTTTCTGATAGCCAAGCAGTTATAAAAGCACTTAGTTGTGATAAATCGTCATCGAGGATTGTCATGAAATGTAGACGTGCCCTAAAAAGGAGATATGTCACTAATGTCGTATGGGTGCGAGGTCATAGAGATGTACCGGGCAACTGTGTTGCGGATGAACTGACAAGGAAGGGCACCTTACTGTCAGCTCTCAGTACTTCTCGAGATGCGGTAGAGCTGGAAAAGCATCGATGCTTGGCAACATCGATGTTTTCGATGTTTGAAAGAAAAACATCGATGAAACATTGATTTTTTTTCAAAATTTGGGAATTTGGCTTTTCAGCCTTACTCTTCTTAAACTTTAGATTGGAAATAAATTCTATTAAATAAAAAGCGGTTATAACAATATAGTTTAGTTTTTTCTATATTTAACTTGAATATAATAAATTATAATGCTTTTTTCCCTTCAAGGGCTTGAGATCAAAAATCATTTATGATCAGTTTTGCCAAAAGCAGGGAAAAGAGGCTACATGTAGAGAAATTCAGCCCTAAATTTGCGATGTAGGGAAAAAAGAACAGACTTTCAATATTAACTTAAATGTAAGGAATTTAAAAATTTTGCATTTGTCTCTTTTTTCACAAAATTTTCTTTTCCGTTCTCAAATAATTTCTTTTAATTGAATCGGTGAGTTCGACAACCGTACAAGTTCAAAATAAGTTTTTCGTTGTTGAGATCAAAAACCGTACGGACATGTACGGCTTTTCTACAAATTTCACGGGTGCAATCAGCTGTGCTACGTTAACGGCTAAGCCTAGTAAGGTGAAATGAGAGAAAAACCGAGTATGTCCCTGACTTGTACTGTTTTTGATCTCAACAATGAAAAACTGATGAAGTACTTGTACGGTTGTTCAATTACTAATGAGTTGAAATTATTTCAATGTGAATGGTGTCGAGTTTAGCTTATACTGTCGAGTAGTTAATGTTTTTGGCTTCATGACGTAGAATTTTATTTACCGCTTTGAAGTTGGTCCCGTTGTCAGTATATATTTGCCTTGGTACGCCGCGGCGGGATATAAAATTATTGATGGAAATAATACAAGAGCTGGTGTCGAGGCTGTGAGCCACCTCTATGTGCACTGGGTGACCATCCGCCCATGTAAAATGTAAAAATAACGCCCCATCGGTTTTCTCGCCTGCGGCCTACTACTACGAAGTAGTCA